GGACTCTATGACCTCTCAAGGTCCCTTCCAGTCCTAGAATCTATGAATCTATAAACTTAGCTAGATTAAGCACTTACCAAGGTAAAATTCCTGCACCTAGAGTGGCTGCTTCGACTCTCCAAGCTCCCACTTCTTTCAAAGCTCTCAAGTCTGCACTTTGGTGAGATTTCAGATGCCATTTCTGAAAAGTCCAACATCAAATGTCTAGGCATCCCACCCCAAAGAAAGATCGTTCCAAAGCAGGTTTGTCAGGCAGCGTAGAAAGTGGTCAATGCCTTATGTGGGGCTGCTCACCATGTTCATCTCTGAAAGTAGAAGAGAATTGTGGTGTTAGTTTAGGTTTGATTTTTAATTTATTTAACGGGCAGGGAGGGTAAACAGTGAAGATCTCAAAGTCTATAATCAGGAAAAATCTTTTAATCACTTTGCAGGAGACCAGGGTATTTCCATCAACCACCTACATCTTCAAGTGCAGTTCTAATCTAAAAGGCGACTTTAAAACACATGGGCTACATGTCCATCTTGGCAACTTCCAGATCAGATGGGCTCCGTTTATCAGTGCGGACATTACATAACTACATACTGGGATCGGACAATCAGGCTGGGTTTTCTATTATTAGTATTATCACACATCACTACTACGGGTAATAAGATTCTGCAAGCCAAATTATTACACCTCCAGTGACCTCTATGCAACCCCTGAACTGCCAATGGGTTTGATGGGAACAATTTTTCTTTTTATTAAGATGCATAAGAGGAATGAAATCCAGTTCCATCTCTTAGCTCTGCAGGGCTGACTCATTTGTCACTCACGTGAACAGATCCAATCTTGATTACATTCAAGGAACCCACCTGTGGAGTAAGCAGGTACCATTTTTATAGTCCCGTTTCAGAGTGAAATTGCACTTTAAACCTTAAAGCACCTCTGGCTCCAACTTAATTTCATTCACTGTCATGCAGAAAGAGGTTTATTCCTTTGGAGAAACCAGGCTTATTGGAATAAAAACCCCATACACAAGTATTTACTGACGCACAAGAGCTTTCAAACTATCGCAGGTTTCAGTTCCGCTGTATCTGGCTGATAAGCATTAGAACTAGTTGTAATGCTTTGAAGGAACCTTACCCCTCTGCCCCAATATTTTCTTCAGTCCCAAACATTAACATGAAGATAAGAGCATCCTCTAGAGACAGCGCTCACTAACAGCATGAGACACTTCCCCACCCTACCGGCCCATCTCCTCTCAAACATCCAGACATATCTAATAGCATGATGATGTACTGAGAACACACACCACACACTTTCCAGATGCATCGTCTTTCCCCCCCCCCCCCCCCACCAGGACTTTCCCAGTCACAACATATTTAAATATTCTGTAGAGTGGTAACAAATACAATTCCTCAGTATCATGGGCTGGTATTTAGTACCACCAACTATCACGTTTGTTATGTTAGAGCCCGGGGGACCATTGAGAATGGGGTCCTACTGTGCCGGGCTCAGTACAAACATAGAATGAGACAGTCCCAGACCCGAAGAACTTACAGTCTCATAGTTTGATTCCTTAGGGGCAAAACAAGTGGGAGGTGGGGAGCCCAGTTTGCATTTCCAGTTCAACTGGATTATTTCTCCTCTCTCACCCCACCCCACCCCGGCTCTCAGAAACCACTAACTTTTTTTTTGCCTCTTAACCAGCTGATTGGCATGTCACATCAGTACAACAGCATCTATCAATATTCTAACAATTCCATTCTCCTGATCACTTCATCCTGGCAGAATGCTATGATATACTAAAGGTATGTATGAATGTTGTCTTAGCTATGCCATCACGCCAATATTTGTCTTATGGGAAGACTCCCACACAATGTAGCTAGGCTGCAATCCAGAAAATCCTAGGAGTAAACAATCCAAAGTAAACAGAGCAGTGGATTTCCACCCCACTGAACCATGCTAAAATAGGAAAAAGCTGCTCTTGTAAGCAACAATAAATCTAACAGTTACGATTTACTTTGGAGACCTTTTTAAAAGCCACCTATCCTTAGGAATGAACACTTATTTCTGCCCTCTTCTTATGCCCACCTCTTACTATACTTACTTACTCTTGCAATTACAGCAACACCTATGTAAGTGCATGCCCAGAATTACTGTTTCATACATGTATACTATGAAAACTATGACCAAAGGTTACAAGGCAGGCATGTTTTTAATATTGCTGCACCTGCCAGTGTTCTCATTTCTGCCTCTGCAGGCACCAGAGATATATTTAAAAAAGGGCTCTAGAGGTGATCCTGGCAATTACAGACCAATAAGTCGAACGTCGGTACCGGGCAAATTAGTCGAAACAATAGTAAAGAATAAAATTGTCAGACACATAGAAGAACATAAATTGTTGGGCAAAAGTCAACATGGTTTCTCTAAAGGCAAATCGTGTCTTACTAATCTATTAGAGTTCTTTGAAAGGGTCAACAAACATGTGGACAAGGGGGATCCAGTGGACATAGTGTACTTAGATTTCCAGAAAGCCTTTGACAAGGTCCCTCACTAAAGGCTCTTACGTAAATTAAGTTGTCATGGGATAAAAGGGAAGGTCCTTTCATGGATTGAGAACTGGTTAAAAGATAGGGAACAAAGGGTAGGAATTAATGGTAAAGTCTCAGAATGGAGAGGGGTAACTAGTGGTGTTCCCCAAGGGTCAGTCCTAGGACCAATCCTATTCAACTTATTCATAAGTGATCTGGAGAAAGGGGTAAAAAGTGAGGTGGCAAAGTTTGCAGAGGATACTAAACTGCTCAAAATAGTTAAGACCAAAGCAGACTGTGAAGAACTTCAAAAAGATCTCTCAAAACTAAGTGATTGGGCAACAAAATGGCAAATGAAATTAAATAGATAAATGTAAAGTAATGCACATTGGAAAAAATAACCCCAGCTATACATACAATATGATGGGGGCTAATTTAGCTACAACAAGTCAGGAAAAAGATACTTGGCGTCATCGTGGATAGTTCTCTGAAGATGTCCACGCGGTGTACAGAGGTGGTCAAAAAAGCAAACAGGATGTTAGGAATAATTAAAAAAGGGGATAGAGATTAAGACGGAGAATATATTATTGCCCTTATATAAATCAACGCCCACATCTTGAATACTGCGTACAGACGTGGTCTCCTCATCTCAAAAAAGATATACTGGCACTAGAAAAGGTTCAGAGAAGGGCAACTAAAATCATTAGGGGTTTGGAGAGGGTCCCATATGAGGAGAGATTAAAGAGGCTAGGACTCTTCAGCTTGGAAAACAGAAGTCTAAGGGAGGGGATATGATAGAGGTATATAAAATTATGAGTGATGTGGAGAAATTAGATAAGAAAAAGTTACTTATTCCCATAATACAAGAACTAGGGATCACCAAATGAAATTAATATGCAGCAGGTTTAAAACAAATAAAAGGAAGTTCTTCTTCACACAGTGCACAGTCAACTTGTGGAACTCCTTACCTGAGGAGGTTGTGAAGGCTAGGACTATAACAACGTTTAAAAAAGAACTGGATAAATTCATGGTGGTTAAGTCCATTAATGGCTATTAGCCAGGATGGGTAAGGAATGGTGTCCCTAGCCTGTTTGTCAGAGGGTGGAGATGGATGGCAGGAGAGAGATCACTTGATCATTGCCTGTTAGGTTCACTCCCTCTGGGGCACCTGGCATTGGCCACGGTCAGTAGACAGGATACTGGGCTAGATGGACCTTTGGTCTGACCCAGTACGGCCGTTCTTATGCAATGGCAGGAGGATGTGAAATTCAAACAAGCAGCATAAAGGAAGAATGCATCCTGTCCCATTACCTGGATTCCTCAGCTCCATCTTCAGAGTAAGCACTGGGACACAGCACTAGACTGTTCACATGGCAGTAGCATTTGGTGAAAGGTAACACAATGGGTTAAAAGCCTGGTGCTGCTGAAGTCCATTGGGAAACTCCCATTGACTTCAAACAGGACAAGGATTTAATCCATTATCTTTAAAGACACTGCTTACAAGTAAGGGAGGTTGTCAAAGGCACAAATGCCCAACTCTTACCACAACTCCATGAAAGTGGGATGCTTACCTCCCATTTGTACCTTTGAACATCTCCCTGTAACATTCATGTAGGAGTCTTGGGTTGGATGTACTGAAACACCACATTTGTTCCATCTGTGGACAGTGTCTTTCAGTGAGCCCCAGGTTTTTTTGGTATCTTAACCCTAAAGCTTCTTGCTGAACTTTTCACACATACACACCCCCCCCCACCCTTACTTCA